CTTATGGATGGTCCCTTAGGCAACAAGAATTTAAACATACTTAGATATAAGATGTTTAGATATAATATATCCATCAACTGCTCAGCAGGTAACATTGGTGAACTTGGCGCAAAGAATTGGACCAACAATCCAGTGCAAGATGCAGTGTTGTCCTGAAAGTAGGTGATTAAACTAATTACCTTAAAGTGCAATCAAAAAGTGGTCCTGAGCAAAGCTATAACTGATGAAATTTCATATAAGAGCACATAGCAAACTTTTCTGTAGATCACTACAGTGTTTAATCACTTCTCACAAAGAAATTCCCATACAAACTTCAAAGATCGAGTACAGTATGAGATTACGTCCAAATAGATTAAAACATTGACATAATTATTAGAACCTAAATTGGAATCAATTGAGCTTGGTGGAACAAAATCGATCGATTGATCCACCGTATTTCCCATTACAAACAATTATGCAAAGTTTCATGCAAATCGGTGAAGATCCAGTCAAAAATTATAATTTTTTTTGACTATTTTGCCTGGAGCTGCTCAGCTGCATGGTGTCGTAGAGCAAAATATCGGTTTCGTAGATAGATATGGGGAGTGTTAGTGATCATAGCACAATTTAAATTTCACTTAGCTTTCTTATCGTTTGTTCGTTTGCTCGTTTCCTCTCGTTCTGGGTTATCGTTTGCTTGCTCATCTCTTGTTTTACACTTCTTTTTCATAAATTGAATCTTTACTTATTCTATATATTGATCGTATTCTTTCTTCACCATCTTCTTTCTTCGTGATATCTTCTCCACATAATTTTTCGTTTTCTCCGTAGCCGTTCATTACATCAATGTTTGTTAGCTTGTTCTGCTCCAATTTCTTCTTTGATCTTCACACCTCCTTTATAGTTTTCTTGCTGCTCCCTTTTCTTCGCCTTATATGAAACCGTGTTTTCTTCGCCTAGCTTTGCGATCGTTCTTTTTTTCCTCCTCCGATATTTCTACTACTTCGCTTTCTTCTGTTTCCTCTGCATTGCATGCTCGCTTCCTGTTTGCTTCGTTATAATATTCTTGCTCTTCTCTCTTGTCACAACTGCAGCAAGGCGCGAGATCAGATTCTACACAGTGGTAGTACACATTTGTTCAAACACTCGCTCAAGTAAATATTCTGGATGAAAATGAAAGTTGTCACAAAGATAATTGCTCTTGAGATCATCAGGGCATATCACCTGCCCGACCGAATAGTTTTCTTTAAAGTTTCGACAGATTATTCTTTGACCTGAATTATTCTCTTCCAGTACCTGCATTAAATTCTTGACTAGGAAGCTGTTTAAAATCAGCCTTCACAAAGAAAAATTTGAATTTAACGAATGCACGTGCATTCCAATCCTGAGCGGCTGTTCACCATGGAGGTGTGGCTCAAAACGGTGTCTGTTATCCATGATGCAGCGGCTGATCACCGTCCTAGTGCCAGCGTGGGACTCTAAACAGAGCTGTGCACGATAGTCCCCCGGCGAGACAGGGGTTGGGGTAGGCCCAACAAGCTGCCCTAAAAAAAAAACAAAGTTGCAAATACTGAAGAAAGAAATACGGATCGGAACAATTGGCACAGACCTATGCGACGAAATAAGGACTACGATTGGAAACTCGGAACATGGAACTGCAAATCGCTTGGCTTCCCGGGCTGCGATAGGTTAATCTATGACGAACTTCAACCACGCAACTTCGAAGTCGTAGCACTGCAGGAACTTTGCTGGACGGGACAAAAGGGATGGAAAAGCGGGCATCGAGCGGCTACTTTCTACCAGAGCTGTGGCACCACCAACGAGCTGGGAACCGGCTTTGTAGTGCTGGGTAAGATGCGCCAACGCGTGATTGGTTGGCAGCCAATCAACGCGAGTATGTGTAAGTTGAGGATTAAGGGCCGTTTCTTCAACTACAGCATCATCAACGTGCACTGCCCACACGAAGGAAGACCCAACGACGAGAAAGAAGCGTTCTATGCGCAGCTGGAGCAGGTGTACGACGGCTGTTCGCAACGGGACGTCAAAATCGTCATCAACGACATGAACGCACAGGTAGGACGGGAGGCAATGTATAGACCGGCAATCGGGCCAAACAGCCTGCATGCCACATCGTACGACAACGGCCAACGATGCGTGAACTATGCAGCCTCTCGTGGAATGGTAGTTCGAAGTACCTTTTTACCCCGCAAGGATATCCACAAAGCCACCTGGAGATCACCTGAACAACACATAGAAAACCAAATCGATCACTTTCTAATCGACGGGAAATTCTTTTCCGACATTATCAACGTCCGCACGTACAGCAGTCCGAACATTGATTCGGACCACTACCTAGTTGCAGTATGCATGCGCTCAAAACTCTCGACGGTGCATAACACCCGTCGAAGTCGAACGCCGCGACCCAACATTGAGCAACTACGGGACGCCGGAGTTGCCCAGGACTACGCGCAGGAGCTGGAAGTTGAACTACCCACGGAAGAGCAGCTGGGCGCAGCTTCTCTTGAAAATGACTGGAGGGACATCCGTTCCGCCATAGGTAGTACTGCTGCAGCGGCACTAGGTACTGCAATCCCGGAGTGCAAACTGTTAGTAGAGGAGAAGAATGCAGCACGGGCGAGAATGCTGCAACACTGCACGAATGTGTGAATGTGGAGCGATACAGACAAGCGCGGAACAGACAAAACTCGGTTTTCCGAAAGAAGAAACGTCAGCAGGAAGACTGAGATCGCGAGGCGATGGAAAATCTGTACCGCGTAAACGACACACGGAAGTACTACGAGAAGCTAAATAGTTCGCGCAAAGGCTACGTGCCGCAAGCCGATATGTGCAAGGACTTGGACGGTAACCTTCTCACGAACGAGTGTGAGGTGATTGAGAGGTGGAAGCAGTACTATGACGAGCACCTCAACGGTGAAGCAGCAGAAAACGATGGTGGCACGGCAACATACCTTGGAGCACGCGCAGAAGACGACATGCTACCGGCCCCTGATCTTCAAGAAGTTGAGGAGGAGATCGGTCGGTTGAAGAACGACAAAGCAACTGGTGTAGATCAACTACCAAGTGAGCTATTAAAATACGGTGGTGAAGCACTGGCTAGAGCGCTGCACTGGGTAATTGCCAAGATTTGGGAGGAGGAGATATTACCGGAGGAGGTGGAAGGTGTCGTATGCCCAATCTACAAAAAGGGCGACAAGTTGGATTGCTGCAACTACCGCACGATCACACTGCTGAGCGCCGCCTACAAGGTACTCTCCCAAATTTTATGCCACCGTCTGTCACCATATGCAAGAGAGTTCGTGGGGCAATACCAGGCTACCACGGACCAAATTTTCGTGATTTGGCAGGTTCTACGGAAAGGCCGCGAATACAACGTGCCCACACATCATTTGTTCATCGATTTCAAATCCGCATACGACACAATCGATCGAGATCAGCTATGGCATATTATGCACGAGTACGGATTTCCAGATAAACTGACGCGATTGGTCAAGGCGACGATGGATCGAATGATGTGCGTTGTTCGAGTATCGGGGACACTCTCGAGTCCCTTTGAATCTCGAAGAGGGTTACGGCAAGGTGATGGACTTTCGTGTCTGCTGCACATCGCGTTAGAAGGTGTGATAAGAAGAGCTGGGATAGACACGAGTGGCACGATATTCAGGAAGTCCATCCAGATTCTTGGCTTCGCCGATGACATTGACATTATGGCACGGAACTCTGATATGATGGCGGAAACGTACATCAGACTGAAGGCTGAAGCTAGACGGATTGGACTTGCCATCAACGCATCAAAGACCAAATACATAAAAGGAAGAGGTTCTAGGAAAGACCACCCCGAGTTCAGATTGACGGTGACGAAATCGAGGTGGTCGATGAGTTCGTGTATTTGGGCTCACTGGTGACCGAAAATTATACCAGCAGAGAAATTCAAAGACGCATCATGGCAGGGAATCGTTCCTACTTTGGACTCCAGAGGACGCTCCGGTCGAAAAAAATTCGCAGCCGCACGAAGTTGACTGTTTACAAGACGCTGATTAGACCGGTGATCCTCTACGGCCACGAGATCTGGACTATGCTCGTGGAGGACCAACGCGCCCTTGGTGTTTTCGAACGGAAGGTGTTGCGTACCATCTACGGTGGAGTGCAGATGGATGACGGAACGTGAAGGAGGCGAGTGAACCTCGAATTGCACCAGCTGCTGGGAGAACCATCCATCATCCACATTGCAAAAATTAGGCGACAACGATGGATTGGGCACGTCATAAGAATGCCGCACGACGACTCAGTGAAAATCGTTCTAGAAAGCGACCCAACAGGAACAAGAAGAAGAGGCGCGCAGCGGGCAAGATGGATCGACCAAGTAGAAGGCGACTTGCGAACCCTTTGCAGACTACGAATCATATAATCGACAATAAATCATGGCAAGGAAAATAATCATCTAATTGAAATGACGTTTGAGACAAAGTTGTTCAAAATTGGATTGCCCTTTTATAAAAAAATAAATACACACTGCAAAAAGATCACTAATTTTCGACAAACAGGGAAAAAATAACTTATATTAACTTCAATAACATGAATTTGTTAAGATTTTTTATTGATATTTAAGATTTTAAAACAAATGTTTTGAAAGCTTATCTGAAATGGATTCAATGGGTACTGTTGAATTTTAATTCAACGAAAGGGGATTTCCAAAATTATAATTCTCGGCCGGAAACGAAATGAAACGCACGATCCGATTGTTGTAGAGTGAACGAGAATATAAATTTCCTGTCAAATGACAATTTAAGTACATATTAGTTTAGCGCGCTGGCCTAATGGGATAGGCCAACACTCCCTCCAGGGTACACCAACTTCCGGTTGGGCTACTGCTTGACGCGCTGAACATCTAACACCGCCAACTTGGCTGCTGGACGTTCGTAGACTCCGCTGATCGTCTGCACAGTCGCGGACCGGACCTGGCCATCTCGACTGGCGGTTGTGTTGATGACCCTCCCTTTTGGTCAACAACTCCGAGGCATCTTAGGGTCGACGATGATCACTACATCTCCAGTAGCTATAGGCTTCGTAGACTGGAACCATTTCGACCGGCGGGTGATTTCTGGCAGATAATCGGAGACCCACCGCTTCCAAAACAAATTGGCCAGAACCTGAGAGGTGCACCAGTTCTGCTTCAGGGCGAGACGACAGTCATTACTCGTGACTAATGGTTTCGTTCCGTTGGATGAACCAAGCAGGAAGTGGTTCGGGGTGAGAGCTGGAGCGGAATCGACATCTTCCGGCACGTGTGTTAGTGGTCTGGAGTTTACCACGTTCTCGATTTCGGTGAGAGTGTTTCGAAGCACTTCGTCGGACGGTTTTCTCGTTGTGCAGACGGCCATCAGGTTGCTTTTCACGGTTCGTATCAGCCGCTCCCAACTTCCACCCATGTGTGGTGCCAGCGGGGGATTGAACACCCACTCGGTCTCGGTACTGGTGAACTCCCGCATGATCTCATCGTGGTCGATCACTTCTTCAAGTTTCTTCATTTCACGCGCCGCTCCGACAAAGTTGGTTCCTCGGTCGCTGTAGAACTTACGAGGTCGGCCACGCCGAGCGACGAAATTCCGGATTGCCATGATGCATGAGCTAGTGGTCAGTGAGTGGACTACTTCAATGTGTATAGCCCGAACGGTCAAACACGTGGCAAGCATCCCCCAGCGTTTTTCGACCCTTCTGCCGACGACGACCTCAATTGGACCAAAGTAATCGACTCCGGTATGTGTGAACGGGCGAGAGAATGCAGCTAGGCGACCAGGAGGTAGGTCGGCCATGATTGGAGGATTCGGTGTTGCACCATCGTTCTTGCATCTTTGGCAATCTCTGCGTACTTGTTTGAAGCACGAGCGTAAGCGGCCGATTTGATATTTCTGCCGCAGTTCGTTAATCACTGTTTCGTGATTTTGGTGGTGGTATCTATTGTGGTAGTGGGATATTATTAAGGTAGTGATGTGGTGCTTTCGAGGTAGGATTATGGGTTTCTTCGCGTCTTCAGTGGCGTACTGGCAGGCCGCGATACGAGTTCTCATTCGTAATATACCGCGTTCGTCCAGCCACGGTGTCAGCTTGTACAGTGAACTGGATTTCGGCAGCGGCGGTGATAGATCTCCTACGATTTGTGGCATATTCCGCAGGGTGGAGAGTTCTTCAGGATAGCCGTCTTGCTGCGCGATGCGGATCAGGTATGCTTCAGCTGCGGACAGCTCACTTTCGACGAGCGGTCCCGTTTTAGTCGGCAGTTTTTGTAGTTTCAATCGACAGTTTGCTGCAAATCGCAGTACCCACGCGACTATTTTTTTCAGTCGTTCCCAGCTGGAGTAGTCCGCGGTGCAGATGATCGGTTCTGGAACAACGTGGTGTGTAGAAAGGTTTGCTATGAGTTCGGCGTCTGTGGATTCGTTCCGGATTGCAGACTGTGGCCATTTGTCTTCCGTTGTCCAGAGAAAATCTGGTCCGTTGAACCACCTACTCTCAGCAGATAGATCGGGAAGCACGTTCCACTTTGTAGCGTCATCCGCTACGTTTAGTTTGCTTGGTACGTATCGCCATTCATGTACTTCCGTAGCCTCTAGAATTTCCGTAACTCTGAATTCGACAAACTGAGTGTACCGCCGATGGTCGGAGTTGATCCAGCACAAAACGTCTCTCGAGTCCGACCAGTAAAACTTCTTCGTTATCTGCATATCCAAGGTTTCGACGACCGTACGAGTGAGCCGAGTGCCTATCACCGCTGCTTGCAACTCCAGCCGAGGGATCGAGGTGAGCTTCAACGGTGCTACTCTAGCTTTAGAGGTGACGAGAGAACAGTGGATTCTTCCATCTTTAACGAAGCGGAGAAATGATACAGCTGCCATTCCGCTCTTGCCAGCATCAACGAACGTGTGAAGCTGCACCTCATCGGCCTCGCTGTTTAGGTATGCGGAACAATAGCATCGAGCTATCTGAACGCTTTCGACGTTTGGCAAGACTTTTAGCCAAGTGAGCCAGTTCGTGAACGCATCGTCGTCTATTCCCTCGTCCCAGCTAACACCGGATCGCCAGATGTCTTGCAATAACATCTTCAGGTAGGCTAAGAAGTGCGCGATCAGTCCAAGGGGATCGTATATCGTCATGAGGACACGCAGAACTTCGCGTTTCGTAGGCCGTCTTTCACCTTTCAGCAGAGCCCCATCGTAGCGGTTCCATCCAACCTTGAAGGTGAAGGCGTCGGACTTCGTGTTCCACCACATGCCTAAGACCTTTTCAGTGGACAATTCTGATGATATATCCAGACTTTTTTCCTCCGTACTTCTTTCTTGCATCGCTGACGTCACTCGTTTAGAGTTGCTGATCCAGTTCCGTATCTCAAAGCCACCTTGTGCGTGAACGTGTCTAACGTCCTTCGCTGTCTGAATTGCTTCTTCGTCGGAAGCTACGCTGATCAACATGTCATCGACATAGTGCGATTTCGTAATTGCTTCGTACGCCGCTGGATAGTCACTATTGAATCGCTCCGCGTTAATGTTCTTCACATATTGAGCGCTACTCGGAGAACAGCACGCCCCAAAGGTCATGACTCTCATCGCATACACCCCGAGCCTTCCTTCTTTGTCTAACCAATAGAAGCATTGGTATCGTTGGTCTTCCTCGCGAATGAGTACCTGGTGGAACATTTCGCGGATGTCTCCAGTTACTGCTACCGGATGCAGACGGAATCGAAGCAGAATCGCAAGAAGAGAGGAAAGTAGATCCGGACCTTTCAGCAGAGCGGAATTCAGGGACTTTCCGTGTGCCTTAGCTGCTGCGTCCCACACTATCCTCACTTTTCCGGGTTTATTTGGATTTGTGACTGGGAATACTGGTAGAAACCAAGTGTGACCGGATTGCTGCTTAACTGCGTCGTCGGAAAGCTTGCGAACGTATCCCTTTGCTATGTAGTCCTTGATCTTCTCATGCAGTACTTCCGCCAGCTGTTGATCCTTCGCCATACGTTTTTCCAAGGACTGATGACGACGTAGTGCCATTTCGCGGCTATCCGGCAAGCGGATGTCATCGTATCGCCACAGTAAGCCTGTCTCGTAGCGTTTGCCATTGAAACGTGTGCGGGACTCTAGAAGTGACTGAGCTCTCTCATCTTCGGATGACTGAAGTAGTTTGTCTGGCTTCATAACTCCGAGACTATCGAGGGAAAAGTACTCTTTCATGGCTAGATGTAGACCTTCGTCGGATTCATCGCTACAGGAGCGTACGTGGAATGTATAGTGGAACATATTTGGCGTTTCTCCGGAACACAATCCTCCACATATCGTCCATCCCAGTCGGGTCTTCATCGCAATCGGTTGACCTAGTTCTCCTTCACGGCTATTCAGCGTCAGTCCCAGTTGAGCATGCTTCATTCCTATCAGGATTCGTGGACGAGCGTCGTGATGTGACTCGACGGGCAGCCCCTCAAGGTGAGGATACAGACGTACTAGCTCATTGAAGTCTAGAGTTTGTTGTGGCAGCATTAATTCGTTAACTGTTCGCACATCGTCTAGCTGGAACTTCCTGGCTTCGTGATGTCTTGCAGCAATGTGAAGCTTGACAATACGAGAATTCTTCTCGTGGCGTTGAGTTCCCCCAGTCCATCGTAGGCAGAGTGGACTCGAAGTTCCACTTAAGTTGAGCTCATCGGCCAGTTCTTGATCGAGCAGTGTCAGCGCAGAACCTTCGTCCAGAAAGGCATAGGTGTGTACCTCCTTCCCTAATCCTGAAAGCACCACCGGGAGGTAGCGGAACAGCACAGAGCTTGATGTTATCTGATGTGTATTGCATCGATGTCCGGAGCTACTAGCTTCAGGTTGAGACGATTGGTGGCTTCCGCTCTGAGTGTTGCTGTTTTCAGTATTCCTGTTCTGGTCGTTGTGTAGCAGTTCGTGATGCCTATATGTGCATCCGTCTTTGCCGCAAGGTTTGGCCTTGCAGTTTCCCTTGTGTTGGCGAAGGCATGTGCGGCAGAGTCCAAACTCCCTGACTACGGCCCACCTGGAATCCCTGGACAAGTCTCGAAATTGTTTGCACTTGTCCGCAGATTTGCAGCTCCCTTTGCATACTAAACACGTCTCCTTGGTGGGTGTTGGTGGAAGATCTACTGCAGCTTTTGAGGACGTATTGGGTTTCGGGTTGTGAGGAACCGTAGACTCAGAGTGCGCGTTTAGATAACTGTCTCCTTTTTTGCTCCGACGAATATCGCTGTGGCCAGGTTTTGCTTCCAGTGATACGGTAGGAAACGTTACCGAACTTGCTGCTTCCGCTAGAGTGTAAACCCATTCGCCGAAGATCGCTAAGTTGACTGTCAGGTGCGTCTTCCGATGTTGAGCCCAACTGAGCTTGATTGTTGGTGGTAGTTTGCTGACAAGCTGGTGCAACAGAGTGATGTTGTACATATACTCCTCCAAACCACATGACTCAACTGTAGCGCAAAAGTTCTGTACGCTCACTGCGAAATCCACCAACGTTTCCAGTCGATCCTCTCGAATCGCTGGTAGTGAGCTTATCTTCCCAATCAGCGAGTGAACAATGACTTCTGGTTGACCGTACAACATCCGTAACGTATCCATAATTCCTTGTACGTTACCGGGATGCATCAGTCTGCACTTGACGGCCTCGTAAGCTTTCCCCTTCAAGCTCCTTTGCAGTCGCACCAGGTTCTCCTCTTCCGAGAATCCACACATAGCTGTCGTGCTATTGAACATGGATAAGAAGTTCGGCCATTCTTCTGGATTGCCGGAAAACGTAGGCAAGTCCTTCGAAACAGCTTGCCGTGCCGCAATTTGTGAGCGTGAAAGCTGGAACTGATCGTAGTCATCCATTGGCGTGGGGCTTGCCGAAGATCTTGGGGCACGTGTGACACGAGGTACAGCGTGGGTCGATCGATTTGCATCAACAGCCGGCCTGCTCGGGTGGTCGATTTGCACTTGTGTTGACTGAGGCAGAGTATCTGGACTGAAGTGTCCGGAATGCCCATGCACCAAGTCCCGATAAGGGTTATGTGATCCACGTTTTGCTGGTTGAGATTTGGGCTGCAGCTCTGGAATATGCCTGGAAGGTTCCAGATTACGAGATGGAATACGATTCGCTTGTCGTTCCTGCAGACGTATTTCCTGTTCCAACTGTTGCTCCAACAATTGGTTGACGCGTTCTTCTTCTTGATGCAACTGCTGTTGTTGCTCTTGCACGCGTTTCTCCTGTTGCAGCTGTTCTTCACGTTGCCGCTGTTGATACTGCCGAAACGCCTCCCTTCGTTGCCGCTGTAACCGCTCCTCTTGCATTCGTTGTTGCTGTTGCTGCTGCTGATGGTGATTATGAAGTAACTTTTCGTGCTGTTTTTGCTCCTGCAAAGCTCGATCTTGATGGGCGGGATCGGGTGTACACCTAGCAATCTCCGATTGTACACAATTGGTCGTTTCGACCCATTCATCCACCCGGCTTCGTGAGATTATAGAACCAGAGCTACGACTTGATCCATTTTCACTAGCCAGGTCCTCCAAAATCTTGTACTTCTTGGCTAGGTATGCTCGGTGTTTTTCTGCTTCTTCATGTTCAGCCACCCGTCGACGTTCTGCTTCTTTCTCTTCTGCTAACTGTCGACGCTCCGCTTCCTCCTGCTCTTCCTGCTTGCGTCGTTGTGCTTGCCGTTCTTCGAATTCCCTTTCCTCATGTAGCCTCAACAACTGTAACTTGGCACGATTTCGCCCAGATCTCTGCGATGACGTACAAGAAACTTCCGAAAACGCCTTGATTAGCTGGATTTCAGGGAGACCTTCCAATGACGGTACGAACAATTTCTCCTTTCGTTCCACGGCTTCTGGTTTCTTCTGCTTCTCCGACGGTAGTAGCGGCTCGGAATGAGTGGACTTCTTAGATTTGCCATCGCGAACAAGCGTCGTTCCTGAGACTTCCTTGACCGACAAAGTACGTTTGGGTGTGAGCTCCTTCCTGGCATCTTTCTGCGTTGATTGTTTCTTCGAAGTCGGCGTAGTTCGCTGGATCCATTTTGCGGTCTTGCAGTTGGTGCAACTCCAGCTCTGGTTGACAACTTCATCCGTTACTCCAACGCAGTCGTAGTGATGCCATCCGTCGCACTCATCACATTGAACCATGTCATCAGTGTCAGGTCCTCCACAGCCCCTACAGGTTTGTCCATCGACAGTTTTCTCCACCTCATCCACCAGTACCACATCACCACTACCATCATCATCACCGTTCTTTTCACCATCTTTAACCACATCACTTTCTTTCGGTTTGGGTGCCTCACCCTTGCTACTTTGCTTATCGGACTTTGAACCTCGACTCGACATGCTCGCGGGTTGACTGTTTCGTTATATAAACGAAAATTATATTATGTTGAATTTTAATTCAACGAAAGGGGATTTCCAAAATTATAATTCTCGGCCGGAAACGAAATGAAACGCACGATCCGATTGTTGTAGAGTAGAGAGAACGAGAATATAATTTTCCTGTCAAATGACAATTTAAGTACATATTAGTTTAAATATTAAAATAAATTGACTTAGCAAAGGAACTTAGTTTTCTTTACATTCATTAGAACGTAAGATATATGTAAGTTTGTTCCACATTATTTAGATTGTAAGATAGATGTAAGTTTGCGTAACATTTTTCAGTTTAGGCTCGTTAGCGAATCTTCCATACAAGTAAACCACTGGATGCGGCTTCCGTTCTGGTAGAGGAGGCTTGTTGGATAGCGGAAGATAAAATGTTAACCTTTTGACTATAGTTTTAAGTGAACAAGAATACTCGGCTCTGTAAAGTTAATTTGGTTGAGCCTAATCGAATAAACTAATGATAAAAAAGAATTTTTTTTAGACTGAAATTAAATAGACAGTTCAAGTAGGCTTCAAGAATTAGGCCAGATTTTTGTAAAATCTGACCAATAAATTAATTTCTAAGCGGGTGGCTAGATTACCCCTATTGGAGAAATTGCTCACTTGCGCCTGAGTTTAAAAATCTTTAAAATGCTTTTTTTTTGTTATTGATGTTTTTAACAGTTTTTTGGCAAACATTTGTGCCATGCTCTGTTGGTTCAGTGAGTTAGGGCGTGCTCTGCCACGTTGGTCGAGGTAGATTTCATGTGTGATTAAGTGATTGCAGTGGGCATTTCATGAGCAATTCACTTCAAAAGTTGCGTTGCATATTTCAACACATGTAGTTCCAAAGAGCCTGAATGAAATGTGGTGTAAAATACGACATAACGGAAAATTCATACTTATTGTATAAAACACAAGGAAATGCTTCGAGAAAGAAATTAAGATAACATAGTGAAAAATGTTGTTCGTTGTGAGTCAACAAATTGAGTGTTTCATTGCAATGCTTTAAGTAGTGTTAAATGTTTATTTAAATGTTCTCTCACTTCACATCTTCAACGATTCTGAACGGCCATTTCGAAGTAGTTATATCACAGCATTGCTAATAATAATATCTTTTCCGGTACCATGGAGTCAACAAAGTAAAAGTGACAGAAGAACTGCACAATTGAGCACATGGGATACGACAATGGAGTGATGCTCGTTAAGAAAATATCCAAAGGCACTGTGTATTTTCCACACTGGTGTTACGGTTTTATAAGACGCAATCGCTTTTTTTTTCCTTTATTGAGGTGATTTTGACGGCTAAAAATCTCCTAAATAAAGGAAAAAAAAAAAGCAATCAGGAACTCAAAATCATTCAACAAAGTGATGGACGTCTAAATGTCGTAAAACACATAAGAAAAAACGTGGAAGACTAGTAGCGACTAGCAGTGATGCAGAGAAGGACAACGAGTTCATAAATAGGCACAAAAATTGGACAGAATGCAGGGTTACCAAAACTACAGATAAATCTGTATTTGTACAGAGTTTTCAAAGTTTATGAAACCAAGATTCTGTATTCACCGATTACAGATTTTTAGGATTCAAACAGATTAGACAGATTTTTAAAATACGATAAAAAAAGTTTTTAAATGAAACTTGAGATGTTTAAAACACTTTGTTTTTCAATTTTATCACCACCAACTTTAAAAATACAAACATGCTTTATTGCGGTTAGAAAATGAGAATGAGAACTGTCACTATGAAAAAAATGGCCTAATCACTTTTCAAATGACATTTTTTAAGGATCAAATTAAAAAAAATATCAACGCACATATCATCACAGAGTTTCTGGACAAGAACTAAAATGAAAGTTTTTTTTTACAAAAACACAGATTTCCTTTTGGCAACCCTATCAGAAGGGTGACGACAGCGAAAGTTAGTGAGATCGTTATAAATTTTTATTTTTTTTATTATTGCTCTTATACAGCCATAGCCATCCATAGCAAAACGATATAGTGGTTTTCACATTTTCGTAGAAATTGGTAGTTTGGTTCCTTATTGCGAAATATTAGACCCGTGTTTTTTTAGGTTCATTAGGGTGACCATTTCCATGTAATGACTTTTTTCGGTTGGTTTCAAAGATCAAAATATCAAACTTTTTTGGGTTGATTTCAAATAAATGTAATGAATGGTAATTACAAATACTTTTTAAAAAATATAATGATATTCAAAAAAAAAAAAATTTTGTATTGAAAAACATTGATTGTGTTTGTTTTTTTTATGGTTTTCATGGTTCGCAGATAGACATCGCAATAGTTTTTTTTTATATTTTCTTGAAAATGTAGGTTTTTTTTACACATTAATCACAAAATCAGCAATGTGTTTCTTTTTTCATTTTTGAAGTTATCAATATTTGGGTTCTCTCTCAATACTCCTACCATGCATCTCCATCGATTTATAGCGAATGTAACATGGTCACGGAAGCAAAGGCAGTCGATTATCAAAAATACGTCAACTACGGTGACTGCTTACAGCACTGAATTCATGAATTGGTTGGCTTAGAGAGCCAGCAAAACGCTCGCAATAGAAGCGTACAAAAGTCTTAGTAGACAAGGTACCGTATAGCTATCGTTCATTGCAATCATTTCATCAAATACAAGGTTTACCAGGTTGAAAGTGTACTAAGTATGGTGTGGCTTCCTGAATCCTGAAAAGCACGAATACATCTCCAGCTTGCCATTACAACAAGATTTTGAACGTCTTTTATCGGAAGAATCAGCGCCAATGAAGATGATCATTTTACGACTCATTATGAGCTTGTCATCCAGGATCTTTGGCAATGTGGAATTTGGAGTCTTATAGGACGAAATAAATTTGGAGAGTGTGGAATAGGGTGACTCATTAAAAAAATATTTGCAATCTAATATACCACACTTTAAATTGATTCACAACCCCAAAGTATGAAGCTCTGAAAAAAATGGAAAAGAATAATGATGATTTAGATTTTGAAGTTTGTATAAATATTAAGGCGAATGAGGTATTTTTGATTACCACTGCTATCGCTCTTATTTTGAATCTTGTTGAAAGAATTCTGTCAAAGCTGAATATGTGGTAACTTCTTCTTCTTTGTATTCTTCTTCTTCTTATTATTCCTCTATTTTTCTTCTTCGCATTTTAAGGTTATTGATTATCGCATATTAGCTTATTGCGTGCTCACAAACTTAGTGTTCTAGATGCACTTCCACTGTAATTAATTGAGAGCTTTTGATGCCTGTACCATTTTTGCATTAGTATAATTGTGTGGCAAGTACAGTCATACTTTATGCCCAGGGAAGTCAAGAAATTTTCCAACCCAAAAAATTCCTATACTGAACCAGGAATTGAACCCAGCCACCTCCAGCATGGTCTTACTTTGTAGCTGTGCCTTTATCGACTGAGCTAAGGGAGACCTCCGATATGTGGTAACTATGACAGCGATAAACAAGCCTGTCGTTGTTCTGTATAATGGTGTTGTTGTCAGGCACATCTTCAACTATCAATTTACCCTATTCTGTAATTTTACAACATTTTTTATCGTTATTGAAATGCTAACTAATGCCATTATAAAAGCAGGCTTGTTGTTATAGTAGCCAAATATTGAATTTTTACAGCGTGTGTACAACTGAACCAGTGTTGGGAAACCAGGTGCAAATCTCACCAATCTGTGGTGAGATTGAGTTTCATTATTTTTGCTTTACACTCGGATGCTTCCGAAACTTCCACAACGGCTGGCAGCAGTCGCTTCGCGTCTGGCATCGGTGAAGAGAAAAAAGAGATAGCATTGTTATACCTTCTTTTTCTAAGAAAACGAGATGCAACGGAATCATGTTCGCGCCGATTCAACTCTCAGCTTTAACTTTACACGTTGTGAATAGTCTCGCAATATCAAAGGAGCTTGTAAAATCAATATCAAGCATGATATTTGGTTCCAATATTACGCGTGATATTCCGAGCGCATGAGAGCGGAAAATTATCAATTGATTGCTGATTTTGCCAACACTAGTAACTACCATATAAATTTAAAACTATTTTCATGATCTTAAAACCTTTATCAATCTTTACCATTTTTTACTCAGGCTGAATCAAACTGGAGGGTGACCTATTAGGGTGCAAATATTTATATTTTTTTTTCAAATTGTGGCACCCTAGTATGAACGAAAGCTGGAGAATTTTCTAAAACGTTTTCAACGAACTAGTCTCAGTAACGGAAAGGAGTATCTGACATCTAGGCTCAGAAGAATCGACAATACGTTGCAATGCGAGACAAAGAAGGGGTACATTAATGGCAACACGTTCCGCCTACACGGCTGATAAGATCGACTCAAAAAAATTGAATGGTTTTTCACACAAAATCGCAAAAACGTACACACTTAGTTTTTTTTCTACCGAGCTCGGCTGCGCAAATATCGGCAAAAAATATTTTACTGAGATCTCAACAAACATTTCATTTGTTTGCTGAGATTCAGCTAAGAATTATCCGAGACTGAGCAATCAAATGTCTCTTTTGCTGAAATCTCAGTGAAAATTCTTTTTGCCGAGTAGAAAAAACTAAGTGTGTAGGTCACTCATAGAGTGAGTAAATTTGTCTTCGCTTGTCCACAAAATTTTTGCTCAAATAGGAGGAAAATTCATGAAAATTTTACTCAGTCCAGGAATATACTAAACGACAGAGTGAAACCTATTTGAAAAGTTTTACATGGAAAATCGAGTTAAATTTTACTTAGTCTTTGAATAAATAGCTTACGTTTTTGCTAATTTGAGTGAAAGAAGCTGATATTTGTTTTAATCAACCGTGTATACTCAACATAGCTGAAGGCAGACCGAAGTGGAAAGGAGTTCCTGATTTACATCTCTCCAATCGGTGGTTTGAACATCCACACTTTCAGGAAAAGCCTAAAGACCAGTGGCCCCATCTAAAATTTAATTTCACCGAAGTTTCTGAAGAACTGCGG